TAAGAAGAATATATGCAGTGTATTATTTGTTGAAACTGTACCTCCGATTTGATTTGAAACTGTCTCATTGCTATGTTTATTAATGAAACTTTGAAAAAATAAAATAAAATAAAATAACTGATGTAAAAAAAAAGTTGAGATCAAATACATAAAAAATAAATAAAAGTTTATATGATTCTGAATGAAGAAACTAATACCTTAGTCAGAAACTGCTAGAAACTTATGATCTTCCTGTCTCAGCCTTTATTATATAGTGTTTCCTGCTTTTTTAAAAATTTGATACAGGATCTTGCTTCGCAGTTCAGACTCTTGGTGATCCTCCCGTCTCAGCCTCCCCAGTGCTGGGATTATAGGCATGTGCCACCACACCTGGTTTTGGTGGCTGGCTCATTGCACCTGGGATTCCAGGGCTGGCACAGCATGCAGTACTGGGGATCAAACCTGGGTCCTTGCGCTTGCCAGGCAGGTGCTTAGACCATGGAGCTATCTCCCCAGCCCCATAATTTATTCATTTAATGATGACAGTAATACTATGAGGTAGGTTCTAGCGCTAGCCTCACTTTCATATAAGAGGACCCTGAGACATATTTAACAATTTTCTTGTGCTTGCTTCAGCAGCACATATATACTAATAATTTATACATTGACTCATACAGCATATCAATCGGGAAAATTTATTTCTAAAATCTGCCTATTAATGTCAAAGCTATAAAACTTCAAAGACATAAGAATTTCTTAGATCTCAATCAGCTGCCAGAGTGCTGGCCAAATAGCTCAACAGATTAAACTGCCTCCAAGCAGGCACAGGAGCCGGGGGTTTGATCCCCGGGCATGCCGTGCTGGCCCCGCCCCCAGGGTGCACTGAGACAGCAATTGTGACTGGGCGTAGTGGCACATGCCTGTAATCCCAGCTCTTGGGAGGCTGTGAACAGGCGGATCACTACAAATACAATCTAGTAGTGAGATCCTGAACACCCTGTAGGCCCTTCCTTAAAATAAAAAAAAAAATAATCAATCAGCTGCTAGCATTGTAAGACTACCTGAGTAAAAAAACTAGGGTGATAACTTCCTGGTTTTCAGATACCTAAACCATTCAAGAAAGCAAAACTAGCCAAGCAACCTGTAATCCCAACACTCTAGGATCACAGACAGACACTGGAAAATGATAAGCAGCCTTCTTACTCTTTAATAGAGCCTTTTACATTCTCTAAGTAAGCATTCAAATATGTTTTCCTGTATTGGGGATTGAACTCAGGACCTCAAGTGATGCTATATCCCCAGCCCTTTCTATTTTGACACAGGGTCACACTAAGTTACACAGGCCACCCTCAAATTTATGATCTTTCTGTCTCAGCCTCCTAGGTAGCAGGGATTATAACATGTGCCACTGAGCCCAACATCGCTATACTACTTAACACCATTTTTTTCTTGCATGTATAAATACATTAAAAGTTTAAAAACTGATATATCTTCCTATTCTTTGAAATGAGCATGTTTTCCTTTTTCCTACCTTTTAAAAGACATTTTATTTATATAGCACAATATCTGACGGCACCTGTGTACCTTTTTCCCCTGGTACTCTAAGGCAGGGGCTCACTAGAGAGTCCCAGCTACCTGAACTCACCATGTAGCCCATGCTGGCCCCAAACCTGGGATTCTCCTCTGCCTCATTCTTTCTAGTGTTAGGGTCACAAGCATGAGCCATCACACACAACTGGACATGCCACCACCAAATCACTGCCATGCCCCTGGATATTCACTTTTAGTAACTCTTTGTTATAAAAAGATGCCTTCATGAATGCTCTTATTACACACACCTCTGAATATTAATTTCATTAGGCAGATTAGAAGTTTGCAGTCTTGGACTCAACAGTATTTTAAGGCTCTGGACATAAACTGCCACTGCCCAGGAAGGCTTTTCTAACACTTTTCTAAACAACTTCCTGAAGCTGTAGCTCATCAGCGAAGTTAGTGTCATTCTGTTCCATCTTTCCACTCCCACACAGGCTGTAGTTCTGCTGTAACTGAAATGCCAACTGGACAAAAGTCTACTGTGTGCTTACTCTGTGCCAGATATCATATCAGGCACTAGGAGCATAATGTGAAGCAAAAGGAGATCGACATGAGCCCATGATGAGGCATCAAGTGTTCTCAATACGTCACCCCGCCCCTTTCCCATAATTATTCTTCTTCCAGTTTTTTATTACATTTTAATTTCCAAACCATTAGTTAAACTCAACATCTAAGTATTGAAACTCACAGAAAAACTTAAAAATTAGATCTTGAAAGTAAAAATCACCACAGTACTTACTTACCAGAAAGGCATTGGATAAGCAAAACGTTCCCTCAGATCAACACTCATGAAAGGAACATATTCTATACCATTTATTTTTGATGTTGTCCTATAAAGCATGAGAAAAAGTTCTAAGGTAAATATTCACGTTTATCTTAATAGTCAATCTTAAATTCTTCAAAGTTTAAATGACAAGGTACAGTACTGTATTAAACTGACCACTTCATGTTATTAAATATATTTAGATAAAATTTTCATAAAATTGAGTATTAGAAAGTAAGACATACTTCAATGCAATAAAAGTTATTCTTTTCAAGATTAACATCCTGGGCTGGTGAGATGGCTCAGTGGTCTAAAGCACCTACTTGGAACAAGCTTGGCAAAGCACAGGGACCGCGGTTCGATCCCCCAGCACCACATGCCAGC